TTTTCTAAAAATAGTTTTACTGGATTTATGATTCCCGGTTAAGTCTTTCTTTAAGTACTATGAATATGTCATCCCACTGCCTCCTGGTTTCCATTGTTTCTGATGAGAAGCCAGATGTTAATCTTACTGGGGTTCTCTTTTACATGATGAATATTTTTCTCTTCCTGCTTTCAAGATATTCTCTTTGTCTTTGGCTTTCAATATTTTCACTGCATAGCTGTAAATACCTTTGCACTTATCCTATTTTGAGTTACTTGAGCTTCTTGGATGTGTAAATTAATGTTTTTCATCAAATTTGGAAAGTTTTCAGCCATTATTTCTTTGAATATTTTTTATACCTCTTTTCCTCCCTCTCCTCTTCTTCTTGTACTCCTAATTTGCATATGTTGGTGCACTTAATGGTGTCCTACATTTTTCTGAGGCTCTTTTCATTTTTCTTCATTCTTTTTTCTCTCTATTCTTCAGACAGCATAATCTATAATTGCTGTATCTTCAAGTTTGCTGATTCTCCTGCCAACCCTAATGTGCTGCTGAGTCCCTTTAGTGAAATGTTCACATTAGTTATTACACGTTTCACCTCAAGAATTTCCATTTGGTTCTTTCAAAAAATAAATTCTGTCCCTTTATTAATATTCTGCACTTGATGAAACATGGTCTCCTTTAGTTCTCTGAACATATTTATAATGGCTGCTTTGAAGTCTTTGTTTGCTAAATCCAACATCTGGGTCTCTTTAGGAGCAGTTTCTATTACCTGCTTTCCCCCTACCCCTATGTACAGGTCACACTTTCCTGTTTCTTTGCATGTCTCATAATTTTTTGTTGACAACTGATATTTTAGATAATAACAGTATAGCAACTCCCACTTCCCTGAGTGGTTGTCGCCACTGTTTGCTGGGTTGTTTTCTCAGTGACTTGGCTGAAGTGACTCTATGAAATTTGTTTCCCCAGTAGTATGCTGAGTATTCTGCTCAGATTTATTCTTGATTTTTATCTTTTACCTGGCAATCTAGGAGTTACCCTGAGTCAGCATAGGCCAAAGGTTATAATTAAGCCCTCTTAGCCAGTTAGATTTTTACCCTTTACCACTGGATATATGTGTGGCTTGGAGGCTGCTATCACAGTTCAAGGAATTCATGTTTCTACCCCACATTCAGCCAGGTAGTAGTAGCTTGGATTTTCCCTCTCCAATCACCTCTGACCCCTGGGTCAGAGTAGCTTACTGTTCATCCAGTGGTTGATTAGAGGTTGTGCTTAAGTCCCTACTACCAGTGAGGCTCCTGCTCTCTGTTGTTTGATCTGTGTGAGGCTTGGGGACTGCATTCAAGTCCACCTTGTGTCCTGAATGAGTGCGGTCTTGTGCTTATGCACAGCCTTCCTAACCGCCAGGGTTGACTATGATCCCAGGAGTGCTCTTCTTGGCTATCTTTTTGCTTGGTTCTCTCTGTTACCAAACTTATGATTATGCAGCCATTTTGCTTGTTGTAACTTGCATCAAGGAGCTACGAGTGCCCTTTTAATTGTTCGCCACTAAGATTTCCATTGTTTGTGACAATGCCCTTAGGAATGGAATTCTTCATGATCTGTTCCACACAAAGTCAGTTCTCCCTAAGCAGAACCTCTGTGCCACTGTGCAAGAGCTGATGGCAGGGACAGTGAGTGGTCCACTCTCTAAGAGGGAAACCTTTTCTTTACAAATGGGTGCTGGGATGGTTTTTGGCTTGCTCCTTCTGGCATGAAACTCTGCCCTATAAGTAAGCTAGGGCTGGAGCAATAGGAGTCCAGGATTGTCAGCATGCTGTCCCTAGGTGAGTGCTTCCACACTTTGAATGGGGGCTGGGTGGGGGAAGAGAGACCCAGTCCTCTTGATTCTGCTTGGAATAGAGCTCCCGCAAGACAGACCTGGGGGATATGAGAAATGTCAGAGGCCTAACCCCCCAGGTGAAACCATAGCTCTAGACTAGGAGCTAGGAAGAGAGGGAGCCCCCAACTTCTTGACCACGCCTACCTGGATTAGAGCTTCTTGAGTAGTTACATAGCTTGGAGGGGGATGAGAGCAGGCGAATGCCAAAGACTCTTGCTGTTCTTTCTGAGATTTAATAGATTTTCTTGAATGAATGTTTCTGTACTTGCTGTATGCCCCTAGGACAATTTCTAGGAACTAGGAATGATTGCTTTGTTTTGTTTAATATTTTTTTCCAGTTAAATGGGTACTTGTTGGTGAAAGAGTTCATCACACTACTCATTTTGCCATTCTGGAAGTCTTTCTCAAAGATCATATTTTAAAATGTTAATACTGGCTCTTGAATCAATCTTATTCATTTGCAAAACTGTTTTTCTATTTCTACCTCATGTTTGTTGTTTCAAATATTCCTTTAACTATATTACAATGTCTCCCTCCTCTCCTTCCACCATTACGATGTAGTTTGGATTTTTTTGGGTTATCTTTTTAAAACATGAAATAATTAGCCTTTGACATATAGCTTACTCAAAGGTTCTCTAAATATCTAAATAAATTACAGCCACTAATTCTCACCTTTGTCTGTATGCTTATGGCTACTTTAGACCTTAGTTTATACCACTCATATGAAACCTAGCATGTACCAGGGATGCTTACATATATAACTCTGAGTACCATAAGCTCCTTCATCTTTGATTCCATCACTGCCTTAGAGCACTGCTTTCATATAGTAAGCACTCAAATGTATGTAGAATGAATGAACAGAAAGGGGACTATTTCCTTTAACAGATATAAGCTGTCTTCCCCTCAAAGGTTATGCTTGCTTACATACTAGCTAAACTTACTCTTTATTGCAGGTCTTCCCCTCCCCTTGCTAGATTCGTGAGACTCACAGAGCTGTTTCCAATGACACCTCTGGAACACCTTCTAGGTCTTATAACCTACTCCACTAGAAATTTTTAAAACATGCTTGGATGGTGTAGGCTTTATTTTATCTAGAGTTAAAGAGCTGTACTACATGACCCAAGGACCCTTATCAGCTTCAGGTTTTGATAACGAAGGAGACTTTTGCAACCCTGTTATTCCCTTAACATGGTTTTAACAAAAAACCTTGTATATTTTATTAAACTCTTGGGCACCTTAATTTTCCTCTATAAAATTTGAATCCCCCTATATGTGTAGCTTGAAACGACATATCATTTACTGACCTTACATAAAATATATGACATTAGCAGCATCGATTATCACATATCTCTTGAAAGAACACTATTCTCGAATTAAAATTACACGTAAATAGTCACAGTACTTTGCCTGTCCTCCAGAGCCAAAACCCAACTCTGGATACAGCAGTTCTATAAAGACTCATATAGAAATCCTAATTAAGACTGATGAAGTATGCCACCCAATGGATGTACTGCCATACTGCACTCATAAAATACACACATACATAGGTTAGCATTTGTTTTCTCCTCCAGGTTACCAAAATTCACTAGACAGTACCAAAAGAAACACTGAAGAGAAAGGAAAAGTGGTCACAGTAGGAAAAGGACAGCCTTCAAGAGCAATGACACCCTGATACTCCAGTGGCAATTCTGATACATGACCATCTCAAGGAGATCGAGGTAGAGAGGTAACAATGTGCTTTGAAAAAACACAGCACTTTACTGTACACCCCTCCCAACCAAAAAGGGGAGTTGGAAAACTGTGGATGGAAACAGTAGAATTAGACTCAAATCCCTGAGACCGACTAGGCTATATTTCTTACTCCCTTGTTGCATAGTTCTATCTCAGAAATAGCTCCTTCAATATGACTCGATTCAACCATTAGTTACTGAGTACCTACTCTCTTCCAAGGCATTATTCTTGATGCTTTCATACAGATTCTCACTTAATTCCTTTAGAGTTCTACTAGTTTTTCTCCTAACAGTTTACTTCTTCTTGAGACTTTTTGTTCATGCTCGGGGTGACATGGGGTTCCTTCAGTATCTACACGGCTTAACTGTGGAAGAATCACTGAAGAGGGGACTTGCACACATAAAGAGATGTTTGTCTAGGTATAAGAAGCTGAAAAGACCCACCTAAGAAGAAAGAAGGAAAGGAATCAGTAACTTTGGCAGGGGCGGGGGCAGGAATCATTTTTACCCTATTATATATTCCACTGTTTTTTTCCTACAGTATGTTAGGAAAATATCCAAACGGAAAAGGGTTAATGAAAACTTCACAACCTACTATTTAACAGTCATATTATTGAGGACTATAGAAGTTTCTACTGTTAGAGAACAACTCTGTACCTTCCCTATGGCTTGGCCCTGCCCGAAGTGAGAAGCACAGTGGCGAGGAGAAAGCAAGTCATAAATAGCAGTCCTGAGTTCCAGTCTCATGGCAGCATAGGGGCAGTCATACCTTTTAGTGCTTCAAATATTCCTGATGTTTAAGAAAATTTCTGTTGTAAAGACTAACAAAATAATATTGATAAGGTGCTAGAAGATGAACAAGTAAATCCTAAGACTAAACTTATACTAAAAATTTACCCTAGGAAACAATGAACTAGAAGGCTTACCTAATGGCACAAACTTCTGATACTTATTTTTATATGTGGCCAACATGTGCTAGGCCTACGGGGCTGCACAGGATTTCAATATTCCTAAACTTAAGGAAAGAAATAATGCTTATCTATGTAATGTTACCTTACATTTGTATAGTACATTATGCTTTTCAAAGGGTTTTCATGTCCATTATTTCACTTACACAATTCCCAACATAATGTGAATACATAATCCATAAAAGAGCATTTGTCAGATGATGATCACCTCCAAAAAGTAAAAAAAAAAAAAAAGATCGACAAACTTGACATGACAGTTATAATGCTGAAAAATGGGGGATACATGCAACATGCAATTCTATCAACCCAAAATGGTGTTTCTCCTTCTGAATTCCATGCCAGGCCTTAGGAAAAACATAAACATTATAACCATACCAATTTATTTTATAGGAAAAAAAACCCTGAGGCTTATTACTGAAGAGAGTCTGTTTTTTTACCCACCTGGAAAACTGAAAAACACTGGAATCCAGAGGCTTAAGTTGAAGAGAAGGTGTTCTGCTTTCTTCTCCAACAGATGAAAGCCGGCTAGGGCTATCAATTCCCTCATATTCAATCGTCTTATTATTCAAGTCGTCCATATCTTGAATAGAAGGGATCTTGAGTGGATTAGTGAATACCTAGCAAAGAAAGAAAGAACTCATAAAAAATCCCAATTTCAAACTAAATACCAAAGGATGAGTCAATCCTTCTGATGCTAGGAAAGAACACTTGGCCAAATAAAAACAAACTGTTTCCTACACAAAACAAACAGCGCGCAGTAATGTACACTAGAACACTGACCCCAGGCATGTTCAGTTATAACCTTATCAACTGGACACCAACAGACCTCCCCAACTCACTTATTGGCTCCTAGAGTCATCCCATCCACAACACAAACCCAGGCCCCCTAGTCACTGTCTAATTCTCTCTTGTGACCCAGTTTAAGGCTGGGTTTTCACTCCTCTGAGCTCTCTGATGAGGGAAGGGATGAAGGGAATAAGCACTGCAGCAAGGGTCTGTGCTGGTCTTGGAGAAATGCATGCGAGAGACTAATATATATTCGTATTGCACACACACAGAGACATGCATCTGGGATCTTGTGGGAGAGCCAGCTTATGAAGATAGTATGAATGATGAAGGTGAAGGAGTATAAAGGGGAGGTAAACTGAATGAGGACAGGGCGGTCCCAGGAAATCTCCCAATCTCTAGATCAGACTATTAAGCCAAGACATGAGGGTATGCAACCTGTTTATTAATACACCTGGGTCTTGGAAGGCTATCAGAGGAAGAATTAGTATTTAATTGCCTCTATCCTCACCAGTCTGACCTACCCTGACTGAGTGGGTGGAAGGTGAATCTAACATGCTACTAGCAGGTATCTCTGGGAAAGAGGGTCAAGAGGAAAATCATGCAGAAAGGCAAGGTTGGGTGGGGAAGATATATGGGTGCTATGGTGGCTGTCAGGAAAGGAGTGTCCCTGAAAGGACGGCCAACCTTATTGCACCCTTCAGCGTCCGGAGCTGGGCAACCATGTCCGAGAGACAGTGCTCCTGAAAATTCAAAACAGCAGAGTCTTTATAAAGCCAGCCAGCCTGAAAGCAGGGATGGGGAGGGGCACAAAGAACCACCCCTTCTTCCCAAGAGGAAGGAGAAAGGAATCACCCCTGAATCCTGGAAGAAAGGAGACTGAGGAAAACCAGACACTCAACAGGAGCAGCCTGTATGAGGATGGAACATAACCCTGAATATTCTGTGACACCGAATGTGATATTCACACTGTCCAGAATCAGTACTGAATCCAAATCTGGACAATAAATGATTTGGCTTTTCTATTTTTGGTGATCTGAACATCAGTAACAGCAGATCAAAGCAAAATCAAAAGATCCAGTGAAAAAAAAGACCACCAGAACAACTGGTTTGTTATTGCTATGCAGCTTTCAAGAGTGCTGCTTCCTTCAACCTATGTCCTCTGTTGGGGAAAATTTTGTGTAAGAAAAGCAAGAGGGTGGACTGTCTCTCACCTGGTGGCTCTCACTTTCCACTGGTACCTTCTTCTTCTCAACAGTTTGATCTCTAGGAGAAGATAAAAGGGATATTTAGTTCACTCATGAAATTTCTCAGTCTGAAATGGATTGCCAATTATAGACTTAGGTTATAATGTTCCTTCTAAACTAGAAATAGTGTGAGCCTTGTTGAGTAACTAAGTGTTCCTTCCTGAACTCTGCTACTGAAGAGGGATTTCAAATGCCCTATCAAAAGGTGGGGGGAAGAGGGAGAGAGGGTAAAGTCAATCACTAGTTGAGACATTCAGGAGATGACTAGAAAGAATAAAGAACTGGAAGACCAGAGAGGTGAATAGGGAAATCATTTAAAAAAAATCATCTCTCTTCTCAAAATTCCCCTGTCCTATTAGGAAGGGTCAGGCTCCTCTACCGTACGATATAGAGCACCACCTCGGGTATACTCAACTGTTTCTTAGCTTTGCTCAAGTACAGGTCTTCATCAATGAGTTCTTGTTCCTCTGGAACAGAGCACCTCCTGCAGTACAGAGAAGAAATCATCTTTCAGAAACAAAATGTGCCCTTCACTGTTACCCTTAACTTTCCTCACGACTATGACAAGGCAGGTTAACCCCCCTCTAACATTACAGAGTTCAGATTCCACCCACATTACAAAACCTGTGTGCAGGATAACATGTAGCAATTCTCTTTTCAAGGCATATCATATTATTATTTTTGGTGTATATATCACCATTCTCCCAAGACACTCAAAGTACTAAAGCATAATCTCTAGTTCTACACAGTGAAGTTCAAGCACAAGAGAGACTTGCTTGAGGTTCCATAGAAAGAGAATATTGCTGAGACTAGAACCGAGGTCTTTTGCCTCGTGTACTAAGAAAGTAATTCCCAAGGTGCCATCTAGAAGCAGGAGCATCCCTAGACTATGTGATGATACCTGAAGAGGAAAATCAGAGGCTATGATAGAGAGCAGCAAGAAGAGACTAGGAGCTGACATTGTAAAAGGGACAGAACAGAGACCAGCAAAGAGACGAAAAAGAGAATTCTATAAATGAAAAGACTAGATGTAAAGCACGAGGAAGAGAATTTTAGGAGTAAAAGCTGAAAGGAGTACTAGAAAATGTACTCAATGGACAAAAGCAATCCTAGAAATAAACAAAAATTAATAATAATTGGAAACCCTATGTTATACCCATTTTATTAGGGCACAAAGTGTCCTGGAAGGCTATGTCTCCTGGACTAAGTATAGACTGATAGCATATACAGGATTCAAAAATGAGACTTCTAAGCACTCAGGCCTACTTTCTTTTTTTTTTTTTTTTTTTTTTGCGGTACGCGGGCCTCTCACTGTTGTGGCCTCTCCCGTTGCGGAGCACAGGCTCCGGACGCGCAGGCCCAGCGGCCATGGCTCACGGGCCCAGCCGCTCCGCGGCATGTGGGATCTTCCCGGACCGGGGCACGAACCTGTGTCCCCTGCATCGGCAGGCGGACTCTCAACCACTGCGCCACCAGGGAAGCCCTCAGTCCTACATTTTAATCACACAACCCTAAGAGGTACTTAGGCACATCTGGAGACTACGGGGAAATGCTTGCTCATTACAGACCTGGACTTTGTTTATTTAATTTCCTCCATTTAAAAAATTTTTTTCTAAAAAGCATACTCTGGTTTAGTACCTTTTTTCTATCAGCATTTATTCTGCAGAAAAAAGTTAAGAAAGTCACAGCTGAACTGAAGCAAACTGAGTTATTATCAACCTATGTGACTAAGTCATATAAAAAATATTTGTTAAATTGAAATGAATACCCATGGATATGACAGGCACTATCTAGATGTTAGCTGCTTCAAGAAACACATGGTATATTAGAAAGACAAACATGTAAACAACCTGCATTGAATGTACAATAGGTACTACAACAGATGCAAGTATAGGAAGCATATGAAGAAAACTGTCAACTCAACCTGAAATGTAAATCCCTTGTTCTCAAATAATTTATAATCTCTTGAAGGGCCCAAGTATATATATATGAAAAACATCCAAAAAATTCAAACAGTACGTGAACAAATGTGAAGAATTAAATACCACAGGAAGCCAGAGTAAAATAACTGTAAACTACTGTCAACTGGAGAAGTATCACACAAAATACTTAAGCTTACCAGACGGATATGATTTAGATAGGCAGATGGAATACAGAAAGTCACTGTAAGCAAGTGGAATGACAGTATCAAGTCATGGAGATGGGAATACGTATGGCATGTGTGGGGAAGAGTGAAGCCACAGGCCTGCTAAAGCAGAAGGTTTGTGTTAAGATACAATGAATAGGTAGAGTGGGACCAGTTAGCATAGGGGCTTGAATGCCAGGGTGAAGAGTGTGGACTTGAGATGAAAAGTGTTTTAGGATACAGAGACAAATCAGGAGTTCTCTCTGACATAATACTGAGTCTTAACCTTACCTGTACTTTGGATGGGAATTATAGTAACAAAACCATCTTGCAGGTAATGTAGATGGATCAACCTTGCCAGGAAGCTTCCTCCATTTAAGACACTCATCACACTGTACCCATGTCTGGTCAGGAATCTTCCTGAATGAAGGAAAACAGAAGTATGACTGTGTATATCCTAGCTCTGTACTCTGTCTTACATTAGAAAAGCATAACCTAAAAATGAAAGAGCATGATTTTATATATGAAATGTGTTAGAAATGTTATCGTCCAGGTGTCTAAAATGTATATATCTTAAACTTCACAGATAAAATAATGATAGGACTAGACCAGATATGGATATGAAAAATAGTAGCAAGTTTTAACATGGTGAGCTACCATATTACAGAGGTCCATAGTACTTACCTTGGAATCTTATCCTTAAGCAAACAAAAGGATAACTTTAAAATTTATTAATCAGCAAAAAGTTTTATATATATTACAATATTACTAAAAAATAAGACCGATAGAATCATTTTATTTGCTTCTATCCAATCCCGTGATAGATTTGAAATGCATTTGTGAGAGTCATTGAAGCACTGTCATTAAAATGACTCCCCCTTTTCCCTGCAGGCTCCCTAGTCCTCCCTTTTTTATTTTCCTTTCAAGAAGTCTTTGTTCATACTTAAATCAAAATCAATATTAGGTTGATATTCCCAAAGTTAACCTTAAAAAGTAACATAAATTTGGGTTTCCCTGGTGGCGCAGTGGTTGAGAGTCCGCCTGCCGATGCAGGGGACAGGGATTCATGCCCCGGTCCCGGAGGATACCACGTGCCGCGGAGCGGCTGGGCCCGTGAGCCATGGCCGCTGAGCCTGCGCGTCCGGAGCTTGTGCTCCGCAACGGAAGAGGCCACAACAGTGAGAGGCCCATGTACGGCAAAAAAAAAAAAAAAAAAAAAGTAACATAAATTTGATTAAATTTCGTAACTAGAAATGGTGGCTCCAGTTCAACAACTGGGTTAAGTTATGAAGAGAAAATTCTTCCAGAGTTCTACTCTTAAAACACATGCCCATTCCCATCTCCTCTAGGAAGTGTAACCCAGTCACCTACACCTTAGAGTAAATTTGTTTCTCTGTAAGAGGAGATGATCATTATATAATAGAAGTAGTCAGCATCTAATATGTGAAAGGCAGACCAGGGTGGGAAAGGGGAAGGCTGGAGAAAAGACAGAAAGAGGGTAGAGGGACACCTAGGGCCAATTTGAAAAACATGTAATTTAGACTAAAAGATTTTGTGTATGTTACATTTACACTGCTCTTTAGTATACTAGACATTTCAATAGAGTGGTATGATTCTTTTATGCCTTAGTTCAATATTTTTCTTATCTATTTTAAATGGTGCTTTTTTTCTAGTTATAAAAGCAATATAAGCTCATATAGAAAATACAGAAAGATATAAAAAAGAAGTAAAAGGTGCCCATAAGTCTACTACTCAAATACAATGCCCTCTTCTTGTTCAAAACTGTTTTTAACAAAGAGAATTCATACATATTCTTGGATATATAGCTTCCTATCTCCTAGCTACAGGCTGCTCCAGCCTTGCAACCTCTAAACTCTAAGCTCAGGCCTGACCTCTGGTGTCTAAATATTTCTGTACAGTCACCGTTTTATTTAGAGCCAGAGAAAGGAGTTTCAGCCGTAGTGGAAGGGGAGAGGAAAGGTCACAGTAGCTTTGGTTTTACGTGCACACACACAGAAGAGTCTCGTGCAGAAGCGTGCCAATATTACTCCCTTGGGGACAAGCATTAGAGACGGTAAATCCCTCCCTCAGGTTACATGCAGACCATGGTAGATCCTCCCATCCAGGCAGATAGGAGAGACTTTTAGCTTGTGCTTGCAATAAGTAGGTAGTTGAAGGGGCTATGCCATATTCTCATTGCATCCTCCCAGAAGAGTGTCGTGGTTGAGAACCTGGGTTTGGGGGCCTGATTGCCTATATTTGAACATAAGTGGATCTACCACTTTTTACTTATCCAATCTTGAACAAGTTACTTAAGCTCTCAGTGTATCAGTGTCTACATTTGTAAAGAAGTAATAATATCATCTGTCTATCTCATAGGGTTGTTGTGATGATTAAATAAATACATGTAAAGAACTTAGACCAGTGTCCGGCATGTAAGTACTCAATAGATAATCATCATTCTGTCTACAGAAAAGGTTGTATAACATACATAAACACACTCCAGCAATATATGAACATCTGTTTCACTGCATTAATCACTGCTTATTTAAAAGGCAAAAAAAGGCATCTCAATTTGCATTTCTTTGAAAACCATGGATGTTGGACAGGAGTAGAGATCTTTAGAATAAGATATAGTGATATTCATACAGCAATCATGTTGCATTTAAAACAAAATTTTATATCAAACATTTGTCTGATTATTTCCTTTTTTTTTTTTTTTTTTTGGTGGTAGGGGGGGCTCTCACTGCTGTGGCCTCTCCCATTGCGGAGCACAGGCTCCAGACGCGCAGGCTCAGCAGCCATGGCTCACGGGCCCAGCCGCTCCGCGGCATGTGGGATCTTCCCGGACCGGGGCACGAACCCGTGTCCCCTGCATCGGCAGGCGGACTATCAACCACTGCGCCACCAGGGAAGCCCTGATTACTTCCATTTTTAAAAAAAACATGGGTGCCTACCCCAAAATGAACCTCTAATCTTTGTCTTGATGGTATAATTGACTGTATACATGTTGTTACATATCCTATCCTCTATATTATGCTCCTTTCCTGGCCTACTAAGGCATTTCATCCTGATCCACCATTCTGTGTGTAATCTCCTCTCTTAGATTCAATAAATTCTACATCTTTTTCTGACATGCTGGGTTCTCTACTTCTAGTCTCAAATTTCTTGGTACAGTTCCAACAATGTTCGCTAGTAATAAAGAGAAGGGAAATTGGCTAGTATTTCTGAACGCCGGAATGCCTACTATATGCCAGGTACTGTGCAAAAAAGGTTATGTCATCTAACTTAATATATTCAGAGAGGTGAAGTGACTTACTTAACCTAAGCTCAACCAACTATTAAGAAGCAGATCTAATAGACTTGTGGTTGCCAAGGGGGAGTGAGTAGGGGAGGGAAAGAATGGGAGTTTGGGATTACCAGAGGCAAACTACTATATATAGGATGGATAAACAACAAGGTCCTACTGTATAGTACAGGGAACTATATTCAATGTCTTGTGACAAACCATAATGGAAAAGAATATGAAAAAGAATATACATATGTATAACTCAGTCACTTTGCTGTACAGAAGAGATTAACACAACATTTAAAATCAACTATACTTCAATAAAATCTAAAAACAAAGACTAACAGACATTTATCCATGATTTAATTTCATGATTTTTGCCTAATTATTTGAAAGTAGAGAATACACTAGTGAGTTATTTAGGGTTTTAAGTAATATTCATAATATTTATAGAACTTATAACCTTAAAGCAATTGTAATACATTAGATATTGATACAATAAAAGTTTCAAGTTGTTTATTAAATAAAAAAGAAGAAAAAGATCTAGATTTTCAACCCAGGAGTGGCTGATTTAAATGGTCATCATCTTCTACTATATCATGCTGCCTGCAGGATAAACTGACAGTACTAAACTCTTCATATTTATGATCCAAATCACAGAAGTGTCAAACCAGAATGAAGAGGTCTAGAGAATGATGAAATTAGTACCTGTGATTTCCTATTTTTAGTTAATTAAACTTCCTTATGTGAAAAGCACCATCTTATCCCATTCCTTCCATTTGCTCCATAGACATTACCCCTAATACTTTTATATTCTAAATTTACTACTCACGGTATTGGCCTGACTATGGCTGAGGTCTCAAAATTCTCTTGGGAGGTCTTTTCCTTCCAATAAGCATTGAGCTTCTGGGCAAGGGCATTTATTGTCAACCTGAAAGAAAAAGAAAGAAACATGTCAATGTTGAGAATCTGTTGAATAATTCTGCAATCTTTAAGATGCTCCCATTTAACAGAAACCAGCAATTTAGAATATTCAGGATAGGTCTGAACATCTACACTTTCAGAAACTAGGATGGGAATGTACTGCCTTTGTAAATTACATGTCAAAATGACAAAGTCAGTTGAAAAGGTAAGATGGTCACAAGTCCTAAAAAGTACTGTGTTCTCCAAATTTTAGAATCATGGTGAGGGGAGCTGACATTAGAGAAAATGATAGAAGACTAAATTGCAGATAAGTTGTTGGGGAGTTATTCAATTGTCAGATGACTACAGGTAAACAATTGAGGACCAAGTTGAAAGGCAGAGGATCAAATACTGCACCCTATCTATTACAAATCAAACACTAACTTAAAAATGTCTATATGGTTCTTCTTTGTCTAAATGCTGATCACAGCAGTTATAGCAACAACAGGCAACAAAGTCCCCTTCAACCTTCTACTCTATAGCTGTTAGTGGAGGCTATGCCCCAATTATGGCTCTTGCCCTTTCTCCTTTATCTCTCTTCCCAAATGAACAACAGCAGACCCAGGGTTAAACAATATAATGTGTAGAAAACCTGAATTTTACTTTTAAAAACTGCCAATTTCTAGTGACTAATTCCTATTTAATTCTACAACCCAGGATTACAACTTAATGTAGAGCTGTACACACCTGAAACACTACAAATTTAGTGTTTAGATCTCTTGACTCCCCGGATAATTCCCCAAAGGTTTTGTAGACCTCTTCTCTCCTTAAGAGGAATTCTTCCTTAACTCCACCTTACTCATATTAAATTATATTCTGACTACACAGAGAAGATTAAATCATATATGAGTTCCCCTATAAACTCTTAGTACCCTCCAACCTACCAATGTTCCTACCTCTATGTTTATATCCTTCCCTAAAGTCACAGATGAAGAACTATTTCTTGTTTTCTCTTAAAATTTTACTTTAAATCTACTTTTTAAAAAAGATTACATGGGATTCTGGAAAGGTGATGGAGTAGGAAGCACCAGGAATCTGCCTTCCCATCTAGACAACAATTACACTGGCAGAATCTGTCTAATGTAACTATTTGGAACTCAAGAGTCTACTGAAGACTTGTAATTTCCAGGGGAATGCTTGGATGATAGATTGGCAAATTTCAGCTCTTAGCTACCCATCTCCTACCCCAGCCCTGTGACAGGCAGCTGTGCACACATTTCAAGACCAGCTTGCAGGAGCCAGGGTAGGCAAAAAAGGCCTTGTCCTCCAAATATTGGGGATCTGTGCTCTGATCTCTGTTTGCTGCTCCTGATCACAGGATAATGTAATCCCATGGTAACCACAAGGGAAATAGCTATAAAATATACACAAAAGGAAATGAGAAGAATTTAAATGTTTCACTACAAAAAAAATCAGCTAAACATAAAAGAAGATAGTAATACAGCAAATGAAGGACAAAATATCTATAAGGCATATAGAAAACAAATAGCAAAATGACAGTAGTCCTTTCTTATCAGTAATTGCTTTAAATGTAAATGGATTAAACTCTCCAATCAAAAGACACAGAGTGATGGGTAAAATAAAAAAAAATGACCTAAATATATGCTGTCTACAGGAGACTAACTTTAGATACAAAGACACAAATAGGGTGAAAGTGAAAGGATGGAAAAGGATATTCCATGTAAATAGTAACCAAAAGAGAGCAAGGGTAGCTATACAAATATCAGACAAAATAGACTATAAATCACAAGAGCTAAAATGGTGAAGCAATCCAAGTGTTCACTGATAAATGAATGGATAAGCAAACTGTAGTATATACATACAATAGAATATTATTCAGCCTTAAAAAAGGAAGGATATTCTGACATATGTACATCATAGATGAAACTTGAGGACATTACATTAAGTGAAATAAGCCAGTCACAAAAAGACAAATACTGTATAATTTCACTTTTATGAGGTACTTAGAGTAGTCAAATTCATAGAGACAGAAAGTAGAATGGTGGTTGCCAGGGGCTAGGAGGAGGTGGGAATGAGGAGTTATTGTTTAATAGGTATAGAATTTCAGTTTTGCTAGATGAAAAGAGTTCTGGAGTTGGATGGTGGTGACGGTTGCATAACAATATGTATGTACTTAATACCACCGAACTGTACACTTAAAAATGGTTAAGATGGTAAATTTTATGTTATGTGTATTTTACCACACAAAAAAATTGAAAAATAAAGGAAGCAGATTATGTGGTTACCAGGGGTTGGAGAGGAGGGGAAATGGGGAGTGACTTCTAATGGACAAGGTGCTTCTTTCTGAGGTGAAGAAAATGTTTTGGAATTAGATAGTGGTGATGGTTGTACAACTTTGTGAATATACTAAAATCACTAAAGTATACATTTTTAAATGGTGACATTTATGGCATGTGAATTATATCTCAATTTAAAAAATAAAAATAAACCTCTGTCCTCATGTACTCGGGCAAAAAATATTGAGGTGAAATTTACATAGAGTAAAATTTATCTTTTTAACATGTAGTTCTATCGGTTTTAACAAATGCATACAGTCATGTAACCACCACCTCAATCAAGACACCGTTCTCATGTATTTTGAAACCCCATTCCTTCTTGCAAAAACCTGGCTTGACTCCACTGTTCCAGTAATCTCTTTCCTTTTACTTCCCCAATCCTGGTATGTGGTCTATACCCACTATCTCCTCTTCATTCTCCTGTCTTAATCCCGTACAATCTAATTTCCACCATTGCCACTACACAAAACTGTTCCTTTCCCCAACCTCATTATTCTATCAACGATCCTGTCAATATGCCAGTCTACTAAATTTGAGGCTTTGAAGTGATCTTTGATACTTTCCTCTCTTTTATTTCCCTTATCCCATTATTAATTTATCATCAATTTTTAAAATAAATTTATTTATTTATTTTTGGCTGTGTTGGGTCTTCGTTTCTGTGCGAGGGCTTTCTCTAGTTGCAGTGAGCGGGGTCCACTCTTCATCGCGGTGTGCGGGCCTCTCACTGTCGCGTCCTTCTCTTGTTGCGGAGCACAGGCTCCAGAGCGCAGGCTCAGTGGCCATGGCTCATGGGCTTAGTTGCTCCACGGCATGTGGGATCTTCCCAGACCAGGGCTCGAACCCGTGTCCCCTGCATTGGCAGGCAGATTCTCAACCACTGCACCACCAGGGGAGCCCTCACCAAACTTTTTGATCTTTTTTTTCAGTATCTGTCACATACTTCCTTTCTCACAGCTACTCTTATTTCACACCTTCACCCCACACCTAGATTACTCAAATAACATATAATCCTTCTTTCAATCTATCCTGCACCCTCTTTCCAGATTTATCAACTGATATAATTCATGTAGAGCACTTTATAAGCCATAAAGCAGTATATAAGTGTAATGTACTATATTCTTAAGATAGAATTGTTTCAAGTCACCCCTCTACTTAAGAATACACAATGAATTCTCATTGCCTAAAGCATCAACTACTCTATCCAATGTCCCTCTAAGACAGAAGTTCTCAAACTATCTCGCTTCATGGTACCTTTAGTGTCCCAAGTTTTTCATGGCACCCTTAGGTCTAAAGAAATATGTACTGGTTCCAATTACTATTAAACGGTTATGTCGAAACAACTTAATAACTATTTATGTACTAAAATTTAGGGTCCATTTGAAAAATATATGTATATATTTTAAAAATATTTCTGTTTCAATCTTAAATAGCCACAATTACTTATAATGGAATGGGTACGCCTGTTGGATATTGTACAACTACTCAAACCTTGGAGTCAAACTGGACACAACTTCCCTCATTTCTTATTCAACATTGATTTTTGGTAATACTTGCTTTTTATCACAGCAATCATAAAAAACCCAGATTCACAAAGATATGATATAATCAAGAGGAATGTAAACATTTTTTACCTGAAAGTGGGGTGCTACCATAACAAATACCTAAAAATGTGGAAGTGGCTTTAGAATTGGACAGTGGGCAGAGGGTGGAAGAATTGGAGGAGCATTACAGAAATTGCCTGATTGCCTTGAATAGACTGTTGTTAGTACAAATATGGATGTTAAACACCCCACTGGTGAGGGCTCAGAAGGGCAGAGCATGGTCGAGAAAACACAAATTTCCTCAGAGTATATCTAAATCATTGTGAACAGACTGTTAGTAGAATTATGGATGTTAAAATTGTGGCTGGTGAAGGCTCAGAAGGAAATGAGGAACATGTTATTGGAAAACTTGAGGGAAGGTGATCCCCGTTACATACTGGCAGAAAGCTTAGCAGAATTGTGTCCCACAGTTAGGTGGAAAGCAGAACTTGTAAATGATAAAATTGGAAATTTAGCTGAGGAGACTTCCAAGCAGGCTGTTGAAAGTGTGGCCTGGTGGTTGCTTGCTGCTTATATAAAATGTGAGAGGAAAGAAATAAATTAAGGGAAGAACTGTTGAACAAAAAGGAACCAGGACTTAATGATTTTGGAAATTCTCAGTTTATCCAGACTGCAAAAGATGCTAACATTTAGAAAGATGCTCTAGAGAAAAAGCCAAGGCAGTGGCTGGACAACCTTTCGCTAATATCTCAGGAAGATCAAAAGGTCAAAGTATTCAGTCACACAAAAAGCTCTCTGAAAAGATTAAACACGTGAATCAGATCTCCACCACCATCTCAGCAGAAGCCAAGAACAGAAATAGGATTATCTAGGAAAGACATGTCAAGAGTCGCTTGTCTGATGGAGTGAATATCCATGATACATACTTGAGACCCACAAGGTTCTTGAGAATGGTATACAAGGACAAAACTGCTAGATTGGACTGAAAGGGACAGAGAGAGTATAAATGAAAGAAGGCATTTAGACCCCCAAAACTCTAGAGTTAAGAAACAGGCTGATGAAACTACTCAGCTACAAATACATGCATGCTACCTTTCAAATAAAAGGAAAAATGAGTCTGTGGGTGGAGCCATGAGGACAGAGAACAGAGCCTTAAATCCAGAGGGTGGAGCTGAAAGCCCCAGAAGAGTATTCCCAGGCCTTGAAATTTAATGGAGTTAGCATGGAAATTGCTTGGAATCTGTGATTCCTTTTTCCTTCATTTTTTCTCCCTGTTTGAACTGGAACATCTATAACTGGTATCCTATGCCTGTCCCACCATTATATTTTGGGAGTAAATACAAAAAAAAAAAAAGACACACATCTGCAGATGGAGAGGAATTTTACCTCAAGATGCATCAGACCCAGAGTATCATCCATACCTGGTTTAGATGAGAAGATTTGGGCGTTCTGAGCTGATGACATTAAGAGTTTAGACTGAGCTGCTGTAGGAGTTGAGACTTTTGGGGATGTTGGGATGGGGTAAATGTATTTTGCATGTGTGATGTAAGTGGATCTTAAGGGGCCAGAGGGCAGACTGTAGTAGCAGAAAAATGGTCCTCCAAAGATGTCTATGTCCTAATCCCTGAAACCTATGAATATATTAGATTACATGTCAAGGGGGAAATCAGGTTGCAGATGGAATTAAGGTTACTCATCAGCTGAACTTAAGATAGGGAGATTACCTTGAATTACCAACATAATCATTAAGGGTCCTTAAAAGTGGAAGAGTGAGGCAGAAGAGTCAGAATCAGAGAAGGAGAGTGATGACAGAAGCAAGGTCATCAGAGTGTTATGATGTGATGACCCAACCCACCACTGACGGCTTTGAATATGGATGGAGGAAGAGGGCCATGGGCCAAGGAGTACTGGCAGCCTCTAAAAGTTGGAAAAGCCAAGGAAACAGATTCTCCCTTAGAGCCTCCAGAAATAAATGCAGCCTTGCCAACACCTTGATCTTAACCCAGTGAGATCTATGATGGACTTCTAACCTACAGAACTCGAAGACAATATACCAGTGTTGTCTTAAGGCACTAAGTTTGTGGTAATTTGTTACGACAGCAACAGAAAACAATTTCTATTGCTTATAGGCAAGAGTCAATATCACTGTATTCCCCTCGAAAATTTTAAACATCCTGTGGCTCCTCTGTGAGTTCATTATGTGCACCTTGGCACACAGTTTGGGAACTGTGGCTCCAGGACAGGGGTCAGCAAACTACAGCCTGTAGGGCAAATCCGGGCCACTGCCTGTTTTCGTAAACAAAATTGTATTGGACACAGACACCGTTCATTCCTTTACTTATTGTCTACGGCTGCTTTCCTACTACAGCAGAATTGAGTAGTAGTGACAGAGACCATACGGCCCACAAAGCTTAAAATATTTATTTCCTGCCCCTTCACAGAAAAATTTGCCAACCCCTGCCCTAGGACAGGGCCATACTCTATCCATCTGACTTCACTCCCCTTCACTCTACTTACATCCCCTTATCCCCACTCCTCATATTCTTCCCACTCTGAGTTGCTGTCACTTAGCTCACGCTATAATTCCATCCTGGAATTCCCTTCCCTCCCTTTTCTAAACCTGTATCCTTTAAGCAGATCTCAAGTCATACCTTCTACCTAAAACCTTCCCTATCTGTTCTACCAGGGAATGCTTCCTATACCATACCACTTAGTTTTGATTGATCAAAGAGCAAGTTTATTGCTCTCTAAACTGTTTCGTGTCTGTGACAATCCGTCATTACAATTACACTGTGAGCTCCTCAAAGACAGCAACCATGTCTCGAATTTCTCTGGAAAACTCCACAAAATCTAGCCACTGTGCCATGTACCAGTGAGGTGTTCACTTAGTATGCATTGACTGCATTTCTTCAGCTGAAATTCACTCTAAAAATGTTATAAGTTTGAGCCCTGATAGTTGTAGCTGAAATCTGATATCTACAACTATTAAAAGTGATATTACAAATGATTTATTTGTAGACATTCCAGCAGTATGATGGCTGGTATCTCTTATAGCGGTTTTGAAATGTATAATAAATACTCTTAGGATGAGTTTGTGATAGCAGACAACCTTCTCTAATCGCCCTCTCAAATTCCCTTATATTTTAACTAAAGACTTTTTTCATTTAACATAAAATAAATTGAGTAAAAAGGGAAATGCTGCCAGAATTGGGATGAGTTATGCACACTTATTACCCTCAGAAGACTCTGTATGCAGGACAGTATACTAGTTTTCTGTTTTTAATAAAATGTGTAGCAGATATTAAGCTACTTAAGCCAGAAGTCCCATATGTTTAGCTGAATAAACCTACTCTCTATAGAATACCTCCATTTGGTTCCCCTGCCATCACCTCAAACCCATCATACTGAAACGAAACATCACAAACCAAGCATCTAATACCTCTAAACTTTAAAAGCTAGATTGGGGGGTGGTGGAGACGGCTTAAGAGGATGTTACATAATTTTTAATATCTAACATTTGGATTTCACAAATCTTAACTATTTGGTTAATCACCAGAAATTCTCTATTCCTTTCACTCAAGAGAAATAGAATGACTTGGCTCTGAGACTTTTGTCAAACTGATGTCATTCCTAAACTTTCACTCTTGTGAGTCAAGTCCTAGTCAAAGATCTCCATTATGTGCCAGACTCATATTTAAAAGACCATTTTACTTAAACTAAGGGCAGGTAGTTATTATAATCATTGAGCAGCCCGAGTGACCAAGAACCAATTACCTTGAAATTAATCTGGGGTTGTCATCCAAATAGTTCTCTGTCAAATACTAAACCTAAAATTCTTATGGTTTCATATAAATTAAGGCACAACATTTAACTAATTTTATTACAGTTTTGGACACAAAAAAAAAGAGATTTGGGGAAATACTTTTCCCCCACTCTAAGAAAAGATTTGCTACTGAGATTTCTAGAAAAATGACACCAAATGTCCTCATGCCTTCTTTCTCCATCCTCCCAGAACACCCTTTGCCATTTCAAATACTTCCCTGTGCTTAGAATGTCCTCCCCCTCTTCATCCACCTAGCAAACTCCAATTTTTCCTTGAAGTTTAAGCTCAAACATATTCTGCTCTGTGAATCCCTTTAGGCATATTTAAAGCTTCTTCCCATTTGGCATACATCCCCCATTAAAGCAATTATTCTATAGGTATTTAAGTTTCTTATTTACATATATCTCATCCCATTTGTTCATAGGCATCAAGGATTCTTAACTTTCATTCTTATGTCCCTAATACCTGGCACAGAGGAGATATCTCACAATACTTGATGAAAGAAGGAATGTATGATCCATCCCTCCCCACAAGTTTTAAAACAAACTATTATATCCTGGCTTTAACAACTCCCTTCTTTGCCTCCTAAAAATATCCTTACTGGTTCAGCCTCAATGTCAAGTTCCTTTCTGATTCTTTATTGGTCTTACCTATTAAATCTAGATGCTTCCGGAAAAACACACGTTTTTCCTGCTGCTCCAATACTTTCCTCTCAATCTGTTCACTGGCTTCAAGGAAATCTTTCGGAACAAACTTCAAACTGCTGCTTTCCCCACAACATATTCAATAACTTCAGATCCACTCATCTCTTTTCATTAAGATCAATTCCAAGGCTCTTTGTTTCACCAAAGTATTTTACTAAATAACCCCTATGCTCTTTCCCTAATTTTTAAAGTTAAGGTTTACTTCAGTTGGGCTCCATACATCATGTATCAGTAAGCTTTTAATTTAAAAATCAAATCCTTTTATCTCTAATCTTAGAAAATAGATTTGAAAGGATTCTCAGTTAACTTATGTGGCTGGCTTTTAGAGATGATTTTAGAGGTTTCAGAGAATAGAATCATATCTGAACAAACCATCAGAAACACCTCAGGTTGGGAGTGACTCACCGGTACTCCTTGGTGTACTCAAAGTCTTGTTTGTTGTAGGCAGGTTTTAAGAAATTGCACTCAATGACTCCAATTACTCCCACACCTTCTCCATGAGTTGGCTTACAAGAAAAATATTAATTTCAACACTTACATTACTGTTGACTGCCTGGAGGCACTTCCTTTTGATTCTAAACAATAATAGAAAGGTTACATAACGTTCACGGGCAAGGAGAGGCCAGTAATATCTAGAGAAACACTGAGAATGTACGCCAATAGACTGCAAGTATTACAATGAACTGGAACCTCTGGCAAATTACAGGGCAGAGATTTTCAAACTGTGATCCATAGATTTCCTAGGATTTTCCAGGGATTAATAGCCATCTCTACTTCACCCACACTACCTCCACTTTCATCTGTTTTATATTATGGGACTGCCAGAAGATTTCACTTGAACAAAGAATGACAATGCTAAAAAAAAATCAAGGTTATATACTTCTGTTCTAGGGAACTAAAACCAAACTCCATCTGAAAAAAAATTAAGGATGCTATATAAATCACACTCCATTAAAATAAACCATTTTTATATATGTATGCCACCAAACAACTGCTAAAGAGAGTCAGACTTGCAGTATTATTAATTACAAGTTGATACAAGAGATTTTTGGATTTAAAATCATTTTTGTATACTTTAATGGAAGGAGCTGAGTCGGAGTGTAATTAGACTGGCAAACAAACAAGTTGTATAAAGATGATATAACAATGAAAAGCAATATAGGCTGAAAACTAGCTCTCCTGGGTCATATGTAACTTTGTCCTACTGTGTAATATAAAGCAGCTTATCATTCTTTGTGCTTTAGCAATCTTATCTGTAAAATAGGAATGAATGGGATACTTGCAGATATTACTACTTTAAGTTGTCATCAAAATTTTAAGATGATGGTAATATTTGTATAGTTCAGTTATAGAGTACTTTTGCATAATTTATCCCATTTAAATCTCTCAACCCTGCAAGTTGTAAGGTAGGCAGAGCAAGTAAAATTACTATCGTTGTTTCCATTTTACAGGTAAGGAAATTGAGCCTCAGAGAAATTAAACAATGTAGCCAGGATTACATGGCTTTTAGGTGGAAAAGCCAGGCCTCAAATCCTGGTCATAAACCACTACATTTTATACATCTTCCACGATGCCTTACTGTCTCCCCAAGAAAATGGAAAGAGCGACCTCAAACATTAATAAACTTATACGCATGGCAGAGTTGCTGGTGCTCTAATTCTACCTCTTATTAACAGCTACCTAGAAAATGCCTTCAGTAAAACTCCTGGGTTGATTGACATCTATGAAGAATGAGAAGTAGAAAGAGCTTTTGAACATAAGACAGCTCACTGGTAACATAGAATTCTAGGATCAGATTTAACAACTATCTCAAGATGAGTAAAAAGCCATTCATTAGTCTATCCCTTTTGCAAAATTTAAATCCTTTTCCTACTCTTTTCAGCCTCTATGACAGAGAAGCATTAACTACTCACCTTCACCTGGCATCCCACCTTCTCAAAAGACTTTATGAGGCGGTTGTTATGATACATCATTACTCCAAACTGGTTATTATTCTTGCAAGAGAACCCAAAAGTTATTTTCACCTGCTTATTCTGAGAAGAAAATCATTAAGGAGACAAACACCAGGAGCTTTAGCACACAAAATTTTGCACTATATTACAGCAAAACACATCAAACACCATTGTATGTAAACCGGTATAACCTTTCTAGAAGGCATTTTAAAAATCGGTAGCAACAGTTTAAAAATATTCTTAACCTTTGAACAAGTAATTCTCTTTCAGGAATTTATCCTACAGAAACAGTCAGAGAAGACCATAAAGGTTTATGAGTTACAGAAATTTATCAGTGATTTATAATGGCTAAAAAAACATAAATAATTTAGATGTTTGACAATAAGGGAATGACTAAATAAATGTTGGTGTATCCACATGGTCTGTTGTGCAGCTCTTAAAATTATGTCTTTGAAAAGTATTTGGGAACATTAGGAAATGTTCAGAACAACAAGTTTCATCTAAAAATATATACTATAAATGTATACATGGAAAAGACTATAAGAAAATATATCAAAATACCATCAGTGATCTAAAAATTCATAAATCACAAAACGTTTCTTAACACTTGCTAACTGCTTAACTTGCTGCTAGGTAAGATACATGGTACAACACAGATTCACACAATTACATGCAATAAGGTAAGTCCGGCTAATCATACAAAACACAATGAAAGCAAAACCATGAAGAACAAAACCACTTTTAAAGGTAAAGGACAATAAATAGTCCTGTTGTAATATATTTCATGGGAAGAAGTTAACAAGCTTGGATAAATGAAACAAAGAGAACTAAGTATTATACATAAAACATGAATAATTTGAGTTTTTAGCAACTCCTATTTGATTTAAAAACCAAGGTAATAGAGTGAGAAAGATAAAGGAGATAGAGAAACTGAGATTTTCATTAAAACAAATACTAAGAAATCTTCATGTCCAAATGAGTTAAATGAAAACTTATTTTTGTTACTTTTCCAAAAACTGATCTCCATTACCCCCTCTAAGTAACAAGCTACTTGCATCAAATCCATGTGACAAGTGGGTCAGGTATGATATGAAGACATAATACGAGTGGGTACATAACACAGTAATGTTTGGCTCAGAACATATAATGTTCTGGGCTCCAGAAGCTCAAATCAAATCTCAAATAAGACCCTATTCCAATGAAAAAACAAAACAGGGCAAAACTGCCCCAAACAAAAACCCAAAATTCTACACCATAAAGTTAACATTTTAAAGATAAAGATAGTCAAATTCTTTCTGTTGTATACTTTTAAATTCTAAATTATGGGGTGGAAGTACACTGGGGTAGGAGATTCCCCAAATTAGAATAAGGAGAAAGGACAAGAGGAGAGCAGACGCCTTTGCTAACTGAACTGAGGAATAAATAACTCAGCATCAGTAATCTTTTCCCTCAGTGACTTTAGGGGAAATTTTATTAGAAGTTTCATTTTACTCATGCCTAGAGTGAATTCGTTTAGCCCAAATTCTAATAGGGAAAGGTAACCAGTTTAATGGGAAGGGAGGTTGAGAAGAGCTCAGGTACATACAGAATGCATGCATAGGAGGTACCCTGGTAGAAACCCACAGAAGAAAGAAGCTGGAGGTAGAAATGTGGTATATCCTGAGACAGTAGTTGAAAGACACTTTAGACTGGCTCTGTTAAAACTATGGCACTAAGATCCTAGCTACATACAGTGATATTATAACTAATTTACCTACAGATGCTAACAATGTTAGCTCTGGCTTTGTTAAGTTAGGTTTGTTTAGGGCTTTAAAAAAAACTTTCACAGTAGACAAGGGTTGTGTTCTTCAAAAGGAGAAAATCAATCTGCTTATGAGTAACAACCATATGGCTATTTAAAAGGGAATGGCATTTTCTAATTTTTGGTCAGGGGAATAAAGACAAAGTAAGCTAGATAATGACTTTGATAAAGCAAACAGAGTGTGAACATGTTTCTTGGGCCAAGAGCTGAGCTTATTACTAGAGAATAAATTACAAGAGCAATTCTTCATAACTGCTTATGAACTCTCACCCTTTCAAAGACGTTTTTGACCCCAAAATCCATCAACAAAGATGGACCTAATTTCCAAAGCTCATCTTAAGATTTCCTCAAGTGCCTGAAATCCATTCCCAGGGCAATGGGGTGGGGTGGAGGGTAGAAGTGAAAATGAGTAATTACTTCTCTGAGTGGCTGTCAATATGAGAAGTACCAAGAAATCCATGTCAAATCTGTTGAAGATTTATCTCACCCTAGAAAATCAACTTTTAATTTCCAATCTCCTAACTTTTATCAACATAAGTCTGGACTTGTTACAGCAAAAATCATAGTATGTCCAAAAGATGAACAAGTTCTAGTCAACATTTTGCTTATTTCAATCAATGTAATATATATATAACAAAATTCCAGTACAAACCAAACAGTGTGAATCATTCCTTATAGCAGAGATTCTCAAACCTAGCTATTCATTTAAATAAATAAATATTTCTTATTAAAAAAAGAGATTTCAGAATCTACTGAACCAGAATCTCTAAAGTCTCAGGATACTGTATTATTTTAATAATTTCTAGTTGATTTCTGATAAAATTGGCACACAGATTGGCATTCAAGAAATACCTCCTTAGATACCTAAAATAGGGTTTGTACTATAACACATATTTTTGAATTGGAAAAGGAAAGGTTTCTGTTTTTCTGTGCCAACTTGGAAATCTAATCCTGAAACAAAGAGGTCAGCTTCATGTAGTTGTAAGGATACTGTGAAGGTAGGTTTATATATATCATATCCTACATTGGCCAGGCTCTTGGCAATCATCTGGGTAGTCACCTTCTTTTGACGCAGAAAAATTTTCATTCGTGGCTTCATATATAGAATGCCACAAAATGCCTATGGAACAGTGAAGGGAAAGTTATTACACAATATTGCCAATTCTACTGACATCCCTGTTGCTACCATCTACTGACTCTGCTAGCAACTGAGATCTAATCTGGGCAAATACTTGACTCAGTTTCTATACCTTGTTATTCTAAATCAACTACCACACTAAGTGCTGCTGACTATATTAGCTACATTGTTTCAGTGGAGACAGTGAAAAGGAATCCTAGCATAGGGTCAAAAGGTTGTCATCTTTATATAACTAAAGTGAGATCTTGTATTATAATATTTTCATGTTACAGGATATCTTACCTCTCATTGTTGAAGAAAAACCACTCTTACTCACCCGTAAAGAATACTCTGTTTCTGGCAGCTCAGAGGTAATGCCACCAGTCTCTTTTTCTTCTGTGCCAAAGTCTGATACCAGGATATCATACTGATCTGTATCAAAGTCCAACTCAGACTTTCCATCTTTATTTCTGGGTAAAAGAGACAAGTACCAATCTAACAAAAACTGGCTCCAAAGGACAAAAATGCACTAGGAACCCAAGAGAAAAGAAACAACATGAGCCAAAACTCAGATACCTATTTCTTTCCCTGACTACCAATTCAAAGGAACTACACATTACTTGCTTTGAAGATCACACAATATTTAAGGGCCTTTCCAGCCTAAAAAAATCTACTAAGTTTCATAGAGATGTGATACAAAGCACAGAAGGAAAGAAAAAAAAGGAAGGTGGGAATGTCTGTGATCCGATAAATCAAATGGATGCCAGCTATCCTCAAGGCAGGATCTGAAAACAGATCTCAACTTTCTGGGTATTGTTCGGTAGGTCATTCAACATCATTTCCCCCAAATGAATAGACAGATGAATCAAAACCTACTCTTTCTAACTTTAGCAATAGTATAAGGACTACTAAGATTTCCCCAGATCTAATTCTATTTCTTAGAAGGACAAAAAAAGGTTGCGACAGGAACAGCATATACTTGTTAGTCTTCTAGAATTATCATTTAAATATAATAGTACTCATATTGTTTTCCTTAGGACCATTTCTTCTTCTCATAATCCCTTTGGGTCACCTAAATATGGTCCATTCCAAGACCCTGGGCTACATCACTAAAAACTGCCAGGGAAAAAAAGGCAAGACCTATCTTTGTTACTGGAAAAAATGCAAAACAAATGATAGGTTACAGAGAAAAAATACATATCAGAACAATGGTCCCCCAAATTTGTTCTGTGGGACAGCAGTCCCCCAAGATACTCTTAAATAAGAAATAAAGAGATAAATAAAGCCTGTATAATCAAATAAAATTGAGAAACAATTCCTGGCTCCCAGAGCCACCTCAAGCTCTAGGGATACCTCCCACATACTGGAGGTTTCAGAAGCTCAGAGCTGCTGTGTTGAAAATGTAGCTCCTTTTTCAGGGCTGAACCAGAGCCACTATGATACGTATCCTGTCTAAAGCTCATGTCACTATAATAGTATATCCTGTATTTTGCAGGATAATCCTGACTCTTGCTACGCCACCCCACTCTAACGCATGTACTCTGAGGAGATTCCCTGTCCTCTCTGGTGCTCACCATTCACCATCCAAGGAAAGGAGGTCTGGAGAAACATTTTTTCTGAAATTGGGAAACACTGCATTCTACATTGCTCTCTTAAATGTTTTCAATGTATTTTGAAATAACATTAGCATATTAAAGCCTCGGAGAAGTCCTGCAATAAAGCAACATGGTAAGCTTTGTTTAAGCCAGCTTTTTCCAAAGTTCTTGGACCACAGAATCTTTTATTTATATAACACCTAGTACCATATAACTGAGAAACAATATACAAAGAAAAAGTCTGCTTATTGTGTTTAAATCACTGGAAATGGCTCATGAAAATGATCCTTTATAATATAAATTATATTACTTGAGGTTTTCTCAGTAGGACACAGGAAGATGTAAATTACCTTACTTTTTTTTCTTTTTAATGGAAAGTACTTTCTATATAAACCAGCATGGTTTTTATCTAAGTTTTACCCAACTAAGAAATGAGGCAAAATACTTGACCTATGGAGAAAAAAGAAGAATGAATATATCTGCTCCTCTGTTCTATTAAACATAAGAGTAACACCTCTATTTTATATTAAAGATTTTTAGGTTTCAGTGGACACTGTGTTCCATTTAACATGGCAAAGTTAAACAAATGACATACCCCAAAGTATTTCTAGGTTATTTTATTAGCTCTAAATACATAACCTGAAGCCAGCTTCATTATAGTTCAAATGTATCTGCTTTGAAGATTTTTCCACTTCTAATCCAGCTACTCTGAAAACAGTAATACAGAGGTCCTTATTATTTATACAGAGGTCCTTATTATATAAAGATTGTGTTGTGCTTTGTTACCCTAATTTCTCCTTCTCTTACTTCATTTTCACTGCAAATAGGTAAAATAACTACCATTGACCTATCTCAAAACAGTGTCCGTGAATATAAAATAGATATTTATAATGGATTCTGAAGATTTTAGAATAATGTTGAACTGTCTTGATGGTAATAGCTTCAGGATATGTATGTAGGTCTCCACCTTATCAAGCTCCACGTTTTACCAATAAGAAGCACTGTCTCAAACAGAGCTGTGGTTCTAAGAAAGTTAAGGATAGGTTTGCAATGATATACAAACATGTATCAAAATTTATCTACTCTGTTTCTCTAGAGCGATTTATTAAAATATGCTTCATCATACTGCTTTTGCTTATTAGAATCTATCACTCTTGGAATACTATACCTGCGGATGTTCCAAATGAGAACACGAGTGCCTTTTTTGCCTGGGATGGCATCAAACTGGGACAGCAGGTCATTTTCACTGTTGAAAATTGAATAGTTCAAGATGGCTTCTAGGCTGGGCAAGGAATCCTCAGTAATAATCATTTTTTGTAAAACCAAGTATAGTCAAAGAAAAATTAATATCTTAAGAGGATGCTATCAGTCAGGAAGATCTGCCTTTTGGGTTGCCAGTTTAGACAAAATATAGACATATAGATATAAAGCATGGGTGTTACTGCTACAGAAGAAAGGAAAGGGGGGAAATGCAGAAAGGTTGTAGAGACAAAAACCAAAATCAGTTACGCCTGCAGAATATAGCTTCAAAGATATAATATAAATTAAGACAGTCCTATACTTAAGAAATAGTTCAAAGGCTGAATTTTTCAACTCTTTGGAAGCAATGAGTTCAAACTTTATTGCTATACTGCCTGCGTAAAGACACCTGGTGTCTAACAGAAATAATAGCTTGTCCAGGTATAGAAAAGTGAGCTATTCAGCTGTCAGATAAGCTGATAAATAGTATGTTTCTAGGAGAGTGACGCAAATGTAACTACCCTTAGGGGGAAAGAAAAGAGAAGGCCCGAGGGAACTTTACCACAGGAGTGGTGGGAGTAGGGAGATAGTATATAGATCAAATCGCCTAACAGTGAAAACTGCAATATAATTCTAAGATTCTGTCAATGATCCATTTATTTAAAAAATATTTAATAGGGTGAAATTCCAGTTAAATTTAAGACACCTGAATACCTCTTTAAATATGAAAACTTTTGATAGCTGGATTCGACCTGTAGAAAGAGGTTTCTATCAGAATAGTCAGATAGGACTAATTTTTAACTAACATTTTCCATTTCCAGAAAGGATATTGTTTTGCTGGTTGAATGGAACAATTGGTACAATAACTGCTTGGGCCTGGACACATTCCAGATAGGTCTGTGATAGGAGTCCAACAGTGAGAGTACCCCCATTCTTGGTGAAGACGAGAGTGTCCTTTCCTAGTCGCATGGAGCCTGACTTGAAACCATTACCAAAGACCCCGATGGGACACTGGCTCTTCTTTATTACTTTGTCTGTAAAGCCAAAGCTGTAATTATACAAGAAAAAAGAAATCAGAAAGGTAAAAAGCATCCTAAGATAGGTAGGCAGAATGTCTGGCTTTCAAATGAAGAACACTTATGAAAAGTCCTTCCTTTTTTCTTCCTTTCGGTATTTCTGGGCAAAATTATTAAGTTAAAAACATAGGAAATAACTACAGGGTAATGGGACCGATTTTCCTGTGTGGTCTGTGTGTACATAAACGCTTCCGCTACATTAGAGTCACACTTTATAAAACGTAAAGGCGGCCTCTTTTCACTCACAGAGAGAGCTGGAGAAGGCCATGGGGCAGCTGCCTTTCTTGTCTAGATAAAATAGCTGTGATTGCTAATAGTAAAGTTAGGGGAAGATGAAAAGGGTGGTTATCTCAGAGTACACCCTAGAGAGGGTAACAAGAGTACCAGATAACTGGCACTAGCACTAGTTAGAGGTACTAGGCTAGGCATCCCTAACCTGGTCATATCACTCTCTAGAAATCTGAAAGTCAGAGGTTATATATCTTGACAATTTCAACTATTCACTCAAAGGATAACACTTCCAGTTCTTACCCTCTGCTCCATCTGCTGGGACAGTTCATTGGAATGTGGCCAAGGGATAAAAATAGGTAGTTCTGCCTGTGAATATCAGCAAACAGCTGCAGTATAAAGTCTCCCTTGTTTTATTAAGGGCCTTTCACCGAGCCACCTCAACAATCTCTGTAGCCCCTTATGATCAGCTTAATCTGGGAGCCAGATCCTTTCCCTTTCTTATATTTTCCATTCAAACACACAACAAAATGACCGAACCAAAAAAAAATTAAAGATATGACATCTAGAAAATGATTATTATCTTCATGTATCTTCTCTCATTACAAATGAAACTAATTTTTTAAGGATTAGTTCTCTCTAGATGGACTAAGTTTACAATGTTGTACACTACCATTCATTCAATAAATATTTACTGAGTACCTACTATGTGCTGTGCATCATGCTAAGCACTGGAGACACAACTGTTAGTAAAAGAGACATGGTTCTTGCCCGCACGGTTTACAGTCTAAGGAAAGATTTCGTATATTACAGATTAGATACTTCTCCAACATTAATAAAATAGATGTTCTACCTGCCACGGCTGAGCAGCTTGGCCCTGGCTCTTATTCTTTTAATTGGGTTGAGGTGCCTGATTTCAACTTCCTGGAGGCCAGGGTTTGTGTTCACTTCCTGAGGAAGGGGGACCACCTTTTAATTTTCTATTTCAAAGTGTTAAACGATAACATCATTGTGTCCCTCTAGAGCAGACACTTTATAGGAGCTTTGTGTATCCAACAAATAAATCCTACCACATAAAAAGGTAATTTCTAGGAGAGTAGTTCCTTTGAAAATACCAAAAGAGCATTGAGCTTCTGCAGTCTATGGGTCTTAGCATTCCAGGAAGTAAACTTAAAGAAGTTGGTAAGATTCAGGCATTCCTTTTCCTCCTGTGGAAGAATTACCTAAAAACGATAGGGTCGTTAGGAGGGTTAAATGATACACTGTATGTACAATATATTACAACTTATAAAGTAGTATTCAAACTTTAATTTTAAACTAACTCTAGAAGTCATTCTGAGAATTGTCATGTGCTATCCTCTACCTCTACTTGAGATCTAATGTCATATCTAAAACTCAGGGCTCTTCATAAACAGTAATGTTACCTACCATGTGAAATGGATCTATAAGGTTATTTGGACTTAAACCTACTCTAATGCCACCAAAGCTTCAATTAGGTGCTCAAGGAGAAGTGGTGAGAATAGGGAGACTATATTACTCCCTTAATTTCCTTACCTTTCTGGCCTGTTCTGCCATCTAGCGTCTCTTTTTTCCTTTGTAACTATAAACTTTCATTGTGTTATGGTTTGGGGAGACTAAATGACTATATAAGGTTGAGAAGATAAGTAGTGGGGCAGGGCCAGAACCAGAAATGGAAAAGGATGAGAATAATGAGATGAGAGGAGCTGGAAGCTCAGTATGTTGGTGTTGTTATGTTACCCTTAACTCTTCCCGTGTGTTCTTTTATGCCACTTGCATTCCCATATTAGGTATTCTATTTAACTGAAAATCGCAGAATAGATGCCAGATACCAATCAAATAACTACCTAATATAAAAGCCTTCACAATAAATAACAGAATGGTAGGAACGTATCTTATATAGTTTGGTTAGACAGGTGGTTTCTCTTCATTAAGTAAGTCCTATTCTATCCTCTCGTGTAATAGATAACGGTGTTTACACACCAAGGGGGCTCCTTGAGTGGAATCCAGGAAAATAGCAGCTTGCTCCCAAGTTCCTTAAAATGTCACGATTCTAGAATCTAGAGGGGTAAATTTAAATTGGGACTCTGATCCATGAAAAAAAAACCTTAGCAAATTCATGGACATACAAGGGCAGGTACTGCTGCTCCCTAAATATACTGGTGATGTAATATGTTGTATAAAATAATGAAAGAATGCTAAGCACACTGTTATTCTCTGGCTGTTGTTTTAGAAGAACAGACCTACTAGGAAATGCACTTCTGATCAGAGGTAGCAAATACCTTCAATCCATGGATCTGTGGCTGCTTTTAATCCTTGACCTTTTCCAACTTGCTGAAAAAGGCAGCTGAATATATAGACTAGTTGGTTCACACCCTATCCCCCTAAGCTAAAGAGAATTAATTATGGACCTTACAGAAATTTAATGATAGGCTTTTTCTTTTTAACTTGATTTTCATGGGATTCTGCATTTATGGGAGAAACTGTTGTTTCAGTTACATAACTATTTTATTAGCCTGAAAATATAAGAGTAGCATAAAAAGTTGGAAAATGTGAATAAGATTATAACAAATGTTACAGGTCAAATAGAATTTCTGTAGGCTTAATAATTTTGCATAGTTACCTATTATTTTTTTCCAAATACAAAAATAATATGCCTCCAAACCACAAACAGAAAAATTAATATACTTAATAATAATTTTCAAAGTTACCTCTAAAGTTCAACTATTTTAAAACAAATTGTGGTAAGTGGAATCCCTGGCTGGAAGTTAGAATTGGACTAAATAATCTCTTTTAAATAAATGGGACCTTCTAACAGATTCAAGTTTATTTTAAGATATGATCAGAAATAAAATCCAACACATATAACTATACATAATCCAGGACTCATTTTAAAAATTCTCTAAAATTGATCAGACTTGTGGCTGCCAAGGGGGTGAGGGGTAGGGAAGTATTGGGAGTTTGGGATTAGCAGATGCAAACTATTATATATAGAATGGATGGACAACAAGGTCCTACTGTATAGCACAGGGAACTATATCAATACCCTGTGATAAACCATCATGGAAAAGAATATGAAAAAGAATATATATATATATATATATATATATATGTATAACTGAGTCACTTTGCTGTACAGCAGAAATTAACACATTATAAATCAACTATACTTCAACAAAATTTTTAAAAATTCTCTGAAATTAATTTTCAAATATGAGGAACAACGGCCCAGCTTAAATTAGTGGGAAACATATTTGGCATGATAATGCCAAAAAAACCCCCTATGGCTGCTGTAGTTCCTGCCTGATTCTTGGGACCAAAACATCCTTCGTATCTGAACTCAAATGTCATTTCTTCATGATAGCCTTTTTTTTTTAAAAACATCTTTATTGGAGTATAATTGCTTTACAGTGGTGTGTTAGTTTCTGCTTTATAAAGAAGTGGATCAGCTATACATATACCTATATCCCCATATCTCCCCCTTCTTACGTCTCCCTCCCACCCTCCCTATCCCACCCCTCTAGGTGGTCACAAAGCACCGAGCTGCATGGTAGCCTTTTATGATTCCACAGACTAGATTAGATCCCTCGGCTATATACCCTCATAGAAACTATACTCTTCCTTCATAGCACTTACCACTAGTGGAATAACCTATGTAGTTGTATTACTAGTCAATTATTTTATATCTTTCTCATTAAACTGCCAGCCCCTTGGCAATAAGGATCATGTCTGTCTGGTTCACCACTTTATCTCCAGTGACTCTCACAAAAGTGCTCAGTAAAAATTTGTTGAAAGAATCTGGAACAAAAGTTGCTGCAATTATTTTGAAACCATCCTCCTCCTTCCTCTTGCCTTGTAATTGTAAGCACCAAATCTCACAGATGTAGTTCTACAGACAAAATAGAAGGTAGTAAGATTTGTCGGGCCCAGTATTTGACACCCATGTCACCGGGATAAGGTGTGGGGGGAAGGAACCAATAAGAGGATAAGTGATTTTAGAAAAAAAACTAGTATATAAAGAATTAGACACATAAATATTTTGGTTCCATCCCATCTAAAATCCTCTTTTTCTTTATATAAAATATTAATTTTAGGAGATAAAAGTGAGGCTATAAGTTTAAAAATAGGGCCAACTCCATACCTTCATCAACATACTGGCCGCATTCTTATCTCACTTCTAGAAGCTTTCCTCAGATATTCTTCTAATTATAAGGATCTGAGACGTAAGGTACACAGATTGCTGAGTGGTAAAACATAACCAAATTTATAATTGGTTATGTCCAAATTTCACTTCTTTTCTTTGGTGGATCAAAGGGATTTCCCTACAAACAGGGTTATAGAATTAGAATACCTTCAAAGAGAACTACAACCAAATGAATTTTTTCCGTTTTTATAGTTCAGAGCCCTTTCCCTCCTCCACAGAACCCCTCCACTGGTACTCATGCTTCACACGCTAGTTCAGGAAGCCTCATGGAGAGTAATCAACCTCATCTGCTAAAAAAAGGAAGAGAGAAGGAAGGAGTTGAGGAAACACTCATCTTTTACTGAGTGATATGTGAAGATGATAAAGTACAAACTTACATTCTTAACTACAAACCTTTTAAAGTAATTAAATGAACTGACAGTGGCAAGAGAAATCTGTTATCACCAGCTTCAGCAGTTAGAAAAGAGAATTTCCTAACCTTGTAATTCTACTGCAAAACTTTCAAAGATTATGTGTATGATGTCCTCTATTTATCTTTCGTGGGGCTTGATTATACCCAGGCATGTTCATGGTTCAATCCATAAATTGTTCCAACGCCAATACTCCTGAACTAAGAGTGAATTTAAGTTAATATAAGTTTGCAAAGGTCTTAGACCAGTGAAGACCTCCAGGTTTTTACCCATGCTGTTCTTTTTGCGGGGACTCTCATCCCTTGCCCCCCTGCTTCTTTACCTCATTGAATTCTACTACTCACCCCTTAGATCTCAGCTTAAATATCACTTAATCTAAGAGGCTTTGCCTGACCTCCTGGATCAGACTGGGCTCCCCTGATGAGTTATCTCATTGCATCCTATACTTTTCTATCATTTTTTGTTATGATTATCGCTTGACTGTCTGAATTGCCAGCTAGACTCTAAGTTCTGTGAGGGCAAGAAGAGTGATTATTTCATAACCTGTGTCCTGGCACATAACAGCAGCTCAATAAATATTTGTTGAATGAATAAAGGGAAAGGAAAATTATTAAGCCTTAAATAGAGTTCATGAACTCAAGACAAGAGAAAAAGAATGAAGACATCTTTACCTGAGCATGCGGTGTAGTTTATGAGGTGTCATCCCACATCCATCATCAGTAAAGGTCAAACAAGATTTATTCTTGACCTCCTCAACATCTATGAAGACCGTCCTGGCGGATACATCTGGATCTACAGCATTATCTGCAAAAGGTAGAAATCTGTGATATCAGATCTCTTTTTCTAATATTCTATTAAAAGCTCTAGTTCAGTGTCCCTAAGGCATAGAAACTGTCCTTTATTCCCTTCATGTGAATGTCCCAGAAGGGAGCAGGGAGCATTAATGGTATAGGGAAAAATAGGTATGATGGCAGATGGGTTTATGAAGCTGATTTCTAGATTTCATATGATGACTGATGTGCTATCTGCTTTCTCTCTTCAAACTTCAGAGATTGTGGGAAAAATAACTCCTCCATATACCAAGCATTTTGCTCCATTTTCGTCTTATCCCTTCTTGTCTTTTCAGCCACTTTACTGCTCACAAACGTATACAGTAAGGGGTGATTATGGAGAAGAGTTGAACCTGCAGCTTTGGTACAAATAGATACATACCACACGCGTTAGAGTTTATTGTGAAGATTTTATCTTTTACTTTCTTTTTACATCACCTCCTCCATTGAAGAACACAGATATTATCACCATCCTTGTTTATAGCCTAAGAGGCACTGAAAGAGTTACAGGTTAAAAACCAAAACACTAACTGCCTGCCTAAATCCCAATGATCGTAGTAAGCATGCTTAGAGGAGTGATTCTGCTTAGGCACTCTGTAATAGTCTTGAAGGTGAGGCTGTTTACCCTCATTAAATGGAGAACATAGAATTAGAGTAGGAAATATAAATACAGAAAGTTTCATGATTCTTTCTGAGTTAGGTCTTCACAATAGGTTAATTATTTAAGACTCCAAAAACATCCAATATAGCCATATTCTAACATATGTGCCATGTCTACAACCCCAGGGGGTGCCATTGTCTAATAGCCACATCTTTTTGCCACAGGTGCCAGTTTACATAATTGTCAGTCACTAACACATGTGGTACAAAAGTCTCATTAGGGCTCACTGGCCCAAGTGGGAGGACAGTCTGTGCAATCTGTTGGATAGGTTCCTTAAGCACTCCTGTCTTTACTAGCTGTTTAATCAAGACAAAGACCTTCCCTTCCACCTGTTCCCCTTTCCCTGGGATCCTACACTGATTTACTAATACCATGTGGCTGGGCTGAGGGATCCGGGTAGGGTTCTGGTTGTGTACTCGTCCCACTACCAATGTTCAGATCATGGCATTTCTCTACTGGGAACATCCCTTACAAGCAAGAGAAGTATCGCACATATTCAAAATATCAGTTTTTATAACACGATTAACAGTATCAGTTACAACCACTTAAATGTGTGGAATGTCCATCAAATAAAACAAGACAGATTAATTTCAAGGGCCACAATGGTGTTGCCAGAGTCACTGATAAAGCTGTCACCAAAAAGTCTTAACAGCAGAAAGGCATCACCGATAGCCCCAGAAGGGGGTTAAAAGGTCTGATATAGTCAATCTTTAAGGACTAGGTGGTGCCAAGCCTTGTGGCACGTGGTAAATCGAGTGGGTCAACTTTTGGCAGGAATTTTAAGTCTGACATGCGATAGTGGCTTTATCAGAAATACAGTGTTTTACTTTGTAATAAGAGGCAGCAGGTTTTTTTTTCTTTAACTGACAGAAGGATTCAGCATTGTGAAGCTGCCTACATTGTTCCAAGAAACTACTTGGCAAGCAGGCCCTGAATTGTTTTAGAACCTATCAATCACTCCTACTGGAAGAAAGCCAAGGCCATTGAGACTGATACCTTTAACTTGTCAACCAACAGGACATCATTTCTACTTTGGAAACTTTGGACATAGAGGAATTTTTTTCTAACACTCAATGAACATTCACAATTCAAACATATAATACATATCAATTCCAATTCTGCATTTATAAAACTGTACATTCAATGAACCAGCTTGCAGGCCTCTCACCAAAAAATCACTTTTATTTTTTCCCTTTTTACTGTAAATTTCACCTAAACTTTACTAGGTACTTTTTTACAGAAACATACCAAAGAGTTTTAATACAGGCATTTCAGGAGTTACAAGGTAACGGCCAGGAGCAGCTAGACCTTTTATCTCCTTGGCTGGAAGCGGGTGGAGTATGGGGGTGGCATGCCAGAGGCCAGGGTCAGCTGAAGCAGCAGGGAAAGAGAGATCAGCAGACAGGCCAGCAGCAGTAAGCACAGCTTTGCACTTACTTTCAGTTTTAAGTGGCCTTTCACTTGGCCTCAACAAATGAAATTGTAATAATAACAGATTGGCCTCAATAAATGAACTTATAATAATAAGGCACCAATCCGGTGGCTGGCTTCAATCTTACCTCTTTTAACCTTCCAAAAATTTATCAACACGTAGCATATGCTCTCAAATCCTAGGGAATCTATCTTCTCCCATGGCCCAGCCCATCTAGCCTGTGAACAGGTAGGGCAGTGAGAGAACCCCTATTCCTCTCCCTTGGCCCACCACTTAGGTGAGAGGGTAACAGGGAAGACCCAAATCTGACTACATGTTGGATCTGTTTCTTTTACTTTAACCTTTGCTTTCCACTGCTTTTGTTCACTAAAAGGATACTGTCTATACACAATGGGCTGCCTGGGGAATCCTGCCTCTCTGCCTGAATGTTAAACCAAAGTGCCTTTGTTCAGGGAAGCATCCTGACCCAGTCCACCTGTGGATGGCTGCAAGAAAGAAGAAATTAACACATCCCTTGCCCGAGACTGGCCATTCTAGAGGACATTTGCAAAACCTATGGCCTTTTCACTTTACCTCCTCATCTCCTCCCCCCTTCTGTTCTATAAAAGATACTGGCATCCAAACCCTGATAAGATGGTTCTTTTGACACCCTAGTCCACCATCTTCTCGGTCGGCCGGCTTTCCGAATAAAGTCATATTCCTTGTCTCAACACCTCGTCTCCTGATTCACTGGCCTGTTGTGTGGCGAGCAGAGCGAGCTTGGACTTGGTAACAAGAGCTACACTACCAGGTCCTGGGATGTCTTTATTCCCTAACCTGGCCCACACAACCTCATGTGCTACCAGATCCCAGTAGTCTTATCTCTCGTAACCTGGCCCATGCTACCCTCAGTGGGAGAACTCTAACTTCCCTCACCCACCACTTAGGCAAGAGCATGAGAAACCAGACCCCAGGGACTCTATCTTATCCCCTAACCATCTGACCCCTGATCTTCTAAAAGAGCATTGTAACTGAAGCTTCATAGCTCATCATAACCCAGGAAGCAATGAGAAAGTGTCCCATGACAGAATCCTTGGAGAGACAGGATGGCGAGTGGGAGATGGCTTTGACGCAGAGCTTCCTCCCATGGCCTCCTGTTGCAGCGGAATAGCCTATGAGGATCCTGTAAGGTTGTCAGGGCCAAGCTGCAGCCCTACAGACATCCTGCAAGTATCTAAAACTGTTCTTGTCTAAAATTAAAGTCATCATCTTCTGATACAAGGCTATTCTTCTTCCTCTGTTTTCCCTCCTTCTCTCTCTCTCTCTCTCTCTCTCTCTCTCTCTCTCTCTCTCACACACACACACACACACACACACACACAGTGTCAGCATTCAAATGACCACAAGTTTGAAATTTCAGTCATTTTTTTGTGCTCCCTCTCTCTTACCCTATACATCCTTAGGCTCTCTTACACCTTGCTATTGAATATTACTATTCCCATTGACACTTTCTTAGTTTACAGAGTTTATTCCCTCTCATCTGGATTATTTCGATAACCTCCTACCTCGTCTTTCAAAGCCACGTCTCTCTTTTCTCCAATTCATCTTATACAACGCTGCAAGATTAACTTTCCTGAAGCACAGCTCTGATCATGACATTCCCTTGCTCAGAAAACTTCAGATTAAAAGCTCAAATACCCAAGCCTCCCAGTCACATTTCAGTCCCAGCCCACCTTCCTAACTTCATTCCCCGCTTGGTACTTGGAGTAAAAATGTCTGTGTTTGAGTCCTGGGTCTGCCACTTACTAAACACACAATCTTGGAAAAGTCAATTAAATTCTCTGAGCCTCTGTATTCTTATCTGCAGGATGATAATAATGATGATGATGCCGTCTACCCCAAAAGGTATAGTTAAAAATGTATTTATGAAAGCTCTATGTAAACTCTCTAAGGACCTATAGCTTTGACTATTCATGAACTCCATGCTCCAATTAAACTCAACTACTCAGTATTCTTCATGCCTTTGTTCATGCAGTTGTTCCTTTTGCCTGGAATGCCCTCCCCTCCCCACACCCATATCCACATGTCCCAATCCTTCAAATCTCAGCTCAAATGTCACCTCTTCTCCAAAGCCTTTCCTAAACCTCCTCTTCCTGGTAAGCTGGAAGTCATCCCTCCTTCCTCTGAACTCCCACAGCACCCAATGTGTCTATCTTTGCTGATATATCACTTTCTATCTTGCAGTTATACAAAGAATAAACCTTCTGTACATGTTTTGTCTCCCCTACTAGAAGATGAACCTATGTTGTATTCATTTTTGTACCCACCACAGTGGCCTTGCCCACAGTGAGTGCTCAATAAATATTTATCGAATGAATGGTTCACCAGAAAATTAATGCATAAGTGGAGGAGAAAACTATGAAGGAAAACCTAAAATGAAAGCTTCGGATTACCTGTTAACACTTTGCTCTCCCTTTTCCCTATTATTAATATGACCACAAATAGTTGTGATTTGGTTTTAAAATCTCTGTGTTTGTATGTATGTGTGCAGGGATGTGTACGTATGTATTGATATATAATACACGTGTATACTTGCACTTATACGGGTCAGCTTAGGCTAGAATTAGGTTAATACTTAAGGCAAAAATCATATATATTCAAAATTACAAATGGAACACTTTTTAAATCACCCATAAAGTTCAGTACACAGTACAGCATAAGTGCATATGGTTTTGCACAGTGCCACTGTGAGGGAACAACACATTTCTGTCTCTCATTTCCCACTAAGCAAATTGTTACTTTTTCCTCTTTTTTTCTTTTTTGTAAGTTGCATGCACTTATATCGCATTCCACTATGAGTTTCCCTCAAGGCATGGTGCAAAACCTTAAAAATATAGTCCCTGTTCTCCAGGATTCAAAACGTACCAATGTCACTTTTCCCCTTTCACCTTCTAATGAACATACATATTGTGAGCATTCTGTGTTATGGTCAAACTAATCATCAAAGCTCCCCATCACCCTTCCAAATAACTCTCCTGACCATCTCCTCCTGCTGCCCACTGACTTCTCGCCCAAGGCAATCCACACTGCATGGCCACAGCGATTGCTTAAGTTGTAACTGGGGCTCATCTGGGGAGCTTTGAAACCATTTTCAAGATTTTGTTCTGTGCTATCTTGCCCCATAAACATCTCTCCCTAATTTCAGCTTTTGAAACATTTGCAATGTGCTGCATTTTGTCCAGGAATGTTTTTCTTCTTTGCTTTCCACACAGTATTTAGCACACTGCTGCAAAAGCTGGTGTACTTGGCTTCAAGGGATCAACTGAAAACGCTTTAAAAGCAAACATCGGTGGAGCGAGAGGTTAAGTGCTCAGTATTCATTCCAGCGGTGTGAGGGCGCTCGTGGACCGCGGACCCAGCCCTTCGCAGTCGCAGGGAGCCAAATGCACTCGTGTCATCTCCTAAGAGATGTCCCATCATTCCCAGACTCTCTGGTCCCAAAAGTTAAATAACTCCGTCTTCCAGACCTTTCTTCATGCCCCTTTGCTAGCTTGGCGTCCTCCGTCTGTCGCCGGCCCCCGTGGAGCCCAGCTGCCTCAGGGCCCGATATTTTTATGCATCTCCTTTTGATTATTAACTACGCTATCCTAAAGTGCCCGGAACATCACGAGCCAGAGAGAAAAACCACACTGGAGTCCTAACTCTTAGGACACACCTTGTTTCTTCAGCTTAATCCGCGGAACCTCGTCCCTGGCGACGGAGCCGGGGCCGGTCCCGACGCCCCCACCCCAGCCCCCGCCCGCCCCGCGCGGCTCCGCACATTCCTCTCGCGTCCGCGGCACCACGTTGGCACCGCTGCCTCGGGCGATCGCGGCCAGGCCCGCCCTCGCCACTCACCTAGCAGCTCCGCGATGGCACTGAAGGGTCGCGTGTGGCTGCTGGAGTTGCTCTGTAGGTAGCGGGGGCTCATCTGGGGGCGAGAGAAGGTCCAGTCCCGCGTGAGGCCTCGGCCCGCCGGGCCCTCCCCGCGCGCCCCCCGCAGCCCCGGGACCCGCGCGCGCGTCCGCCCCCTCGGGCCCCCGACCTACCGTACTCAGGCGGATCCCAAAGGCCTGCGGGCCGCCGCCCGGCCGGGCCAGCGCGCTGCCCGGCGCGCCAGGGCCCGCGGGGGCCCCTCGGTACAGGAGCATTTTTTTGGCCGCCACGATACTCGTTTGCCGCCGCCGGACTCCTCGCCCGGCCGTCCCGGACTGGCCCTCGCTCGCTCCCGCTCGCAGCTGGCGGCGGCCGTCCGGGACTGGCCCTCGCTCGCTCCCACCCGCAGCTGGCGGAGGCGGGGCGCGCTCCAGCCACCTGTCCGGGACGGGAGGGGTGAGGCCGGCAGCGCCGCGCGGTGGCCCCGCCCTGTCAGCACCTCTCCCGACCCGCGACTGCTGGGCCGGCCGCGGGGCCGTACAGAAATATGGCGACCTCCTGACAGCCGCTCCTTGATCCCCGCCCCTAATTAATTCTTGGCGTTTGCCATAGGCCAGGCCGCCGAGCGGGAAAGCGCGGGGGGAGGGGGCGGACGCGTGGGGAGGGGCGGGAATGAGGCGAGGGGAGGGAGAGGGTGCAGGGATTTCTGGAACAGAGTCCCAGTTCGGCGGTATGACTAACGGGCAGGATAAGACAAGTCTTACAAGTTCTAAAGACTATAGTTTTGCTATCTGGGGAGATAGCAGGCTCGCGTGATGGGCAAGCATTCGGACTATTTTGCCTCAAATGCCTCCAGAAACAGCCAGAACTTTCCAGAAGGCAATTGGCAAATCCACTTCAAAGCTTTGCAAGCGCGCAGGGAGGCTGTTTATAAAGGAGAAATTGGAATGCACTTAAATACCCCAAAGTAGGGAATGGGTTAGGTTATGCAGTTTCCATAAAATGGAATACTATGCAGTTCTTAAAGGCCGTATTTGTGGATGAAAATTTATTCATGTGGAAAATATTCATGAGGGAATTAAGGAAACAGGAGGTCACCACATATTGTGTAACGTGATACCTTTTTTATTGGAAAAACAAGTACATTTATACATACATATGCGGACACACACACACACACACGCACACACCCTACAATGAGAAACACCTGAAATGATATATTTCAAGATGATATCTCCAGGTCTGGAATTATGAATATTTTCCCTTTTTTTTCTTGTTTGTATTTTCTAGTTTTTGTGCTATTAAACATACACTTTGATTACAGAGAAGAGATTTTTATTTTTTTTTAAATATAATGTTCCCTGGTACAGATGAACCATTATTTGACCATTCCTTTGTGATATTTCATATTGTTTTCCATTTATTTATTTTTGGCCAATGAAAAAAGTGCTGCCTCAGACATCCTCATGCACAGATCATGAATTTCTGGTGCAATTATTTCTACAGAATATTGTTGTGTCTAATAGCATGTATGTGATTTACCCTTAACGAATACTGTGAGATGGAGGCAACTTGCCCTCCCAGAAGCAGTTAGCGATTTTGCCACATTCATAGCACTACATAGCTTTGATCTTTCAACTTTCTGTCAATCTTTTGAATAAAAAATACTATCTCGGGGCTTCCCTGGTGGCGCAGTGGTTGAGAGTCTGCCTGCCGATGCAGGGGATATGGGTTCGTGCCCTGGTCCGGGAAGATCCCACATGCCGCGGAGCAGCTGGGCCCGTGAGCCATGGCTGCTGAGCCTGCGTGTCCAGAGCCTGTGCTCCACAACGGGAGAGGCCACAGCAGTGAGAGGCCCGTGTACCACAAAAAATAAATAAATAAATAAATATTAAAAAATACTATCTCCTTATTGTTCTAATTTGCATTTCCCTTTCAGTGTAGTTGAATATCTTCTCAAATGTTTATTGTATATTTATATCCTTTGAGCATGATTTCCCCCATTGGGTCCTTTGAATTTGTCTTTTTTTTTTTTTTTGGCGTCTTAAATTTTTTTTTAAATACCCAAAAGTGCGAAGAATGATAAAATGAATTCCCAGGTACTTATTACTCAAATTCAAAAACTGAATCACTTTGCTGTACACCTGAAACTAACACAACATCGTAAATCAACTATATTTCAATTAAAAAATTAAAAAAAAACTATCAGGGCTTTTCTATATCTGCTTTATATATTCTTTTATTTTTTTATTTCTGTATTTTAGAGCAAATTTCAAACAGCATGTCATTTTACCCTATATACTTCATTGTCCTCTAAAAATATGGACATTTCTAAGACATACAGCCACAATGCCACTTTTGCACTAAACAAAATTCATAACAGTTCTTTGATGTTCTCTAATACCCAGCCATAGTCTGATTTCCTCAATTATCTCAAAAAATGTCTTTTTACATTTGGTTTGTTTAAATCTAGATCCAAACAAGAGGCACACATTGTACTTGGTTATGTGTCTTAAATCTACTTTAATCTAAAACAGTCTCCCCTCTTTTTTTTCCTTCATTCTATTGAGTTGTTGAAGAAATCAAGTCCCTTGTACTGTTGAATGTCCTACATAATCATTTGTCTGTTTACTTATTTTTGTTGTTACTTAGGTTGCTCCTCTCATTAGAGGAATAAAGTTGACATAACTATAAACCAGAAGTTGGCTCTAAAGCCTTCAGCAGATTCCAGTACAAAGTTTTTTAAAACAGGAATGCTCAGAGATGGTGTTATGTACTTCCTATTGCAACACATCAGAAAGTACAGACTGTCTAACAGTCAGTGGTGTTCAGACTGATGAGTGGGTTCAAGCAGAGGCAGCTTGAACGGTCCATTATAAAGTTTCCCATCGATCTTTTACTTTGTAGTTTCATCAATTGATGTTCATTGCCTGAAAAAACTATTTTATTAGGGCTGCAAAACAATGATAAACTAATCTCATCATTTCTTGTAATTTATTAACTGTATCCCTCTGTACAGAATTTCTCCTCATCAACCATGGCTATTTGGTTACTCTGAAATACAATTCACATAGGAAGGGCAGGATAAATGCTTAATTCTTTACTTTTAATTGACAATTCTTAAAGAGTTGGTGCCTGTGTTGGATACTGTGATGTGCCAGCCCATCTCCCATTTCAATAAAGGACTTTCTGCCTGAGGTGCAGAGAGCACTGTTGGAAAGCTGCCTCTGTTAGCCCCTTCAGGGATTGCCGTAGGTACAGAGAGTTGCCTCACTCAAGGTCACAAAGTTTTCTGGGGCAGCGCACAGCAGTGACTGACCAAAGAAAGGCTATAGAGGCTTGACCATCTCAGTTCAACTTGGGATAATTCGGAAGGGTCATTGTAACTCCAGATCTCTCTGTGGGGTTGGCAGAAGCTGCTGTTAGGCCTACAGTGCAGCTCAACTTTCCCCTCTGCCCAGGACTGCTCCTTCCACAGGTGTTATTCCAAAAAACATCTCTTAATAGGCTTCTTGCATGCTACATTCTGTCATAGAGTTGGCTTCCTGGGGAACTCAAATTACGACACTTGAAACTGGGTGTTACCCGGGAAAGTCAGCACTTAGCTGGGATTTGGGAGCTAGATCATTCACTGCCCAGTTGGCAAGGAGGACCGCATCGCAGAGGGGTAGGTGGATCACAGATAGCCCCCTGCCACAAGGTGGCAGTCCTATTACTGTTAAGACTTTCACCGGGTGGTGAATTGGGTTGGTATACTGGTAGAAGGGGAACATATGATCTGGTGTGATATATCAAGTATTTGAGAAACAGGGTGAAAGAGTAGCTATAAGACCAATAGAATTTGGTGGTTATTGAGCTCCAAAGAAGATTAAATTCCCAATGGAGACAGGTTTGCTGTGCCAAAGTCAGGATGCTTCCTGGGAAAGCATAGGACCCTGACATACAGTTTGGGGATATCTAGATGGATGCCACCAAAATCTTGAATCCCCAGATTTCCCTGAACCCTCTGAGCCTGTAGAATTGGCCTGACTTCCCTACTAATAGTCTCCCCACCCCTTACTTGGAGATGATGCAGAGCTTCTCCACCACAAGACAAAATGTACCTTCACTTCCCCTCTTGGCCACTAGGCCTATAACAAGGGTTAAGGCATAGCATGAACATGCTAGGCTTGATAAGGGAGGAAAGTAACTATGCCCCCAGGAGCTGCATGGCCTAGCCTGCATAGATCGGCAGGACCTAGAAAAGTACACATAACATTGGATTCTGAGATCGCTTGATCAAGGGAGCTAGACTATAAAGTTGGAAGAGGAGAGTTTATCAATGTAGGAACACTCCCCTGGAAAATAGGATTTAATACCCTGGCAAGGACCACAAGAGGTGGTGCAAACTCACTACTAGGACAGCTCCTAGAGGTATAGAAAACATGATGATCCACACTAAGTGAGGTCGAAATGCCAGCATTGCTATGGAAATAGTGGAATAAGGGATGAAAGGATTCAGAAGTGAGCATATTGGAGTGGACATACTGAAAAGACTGCAAAACGCAAACAGAAAGGCACAGGATACACCATTTACCACGGCTCTGAGAAGCATGCGGCTGAGAGGGCTACTGGCACCACTAAGAAATTCAGTGGTGGTTCTCCTCTGTAGGTTCGGCCTGTCCAGAGAAGAGGCCATGACAGTAGGCTCACTATGGCAGTGGTCATTGTAGAGCTCTGAAAAGACAGAGACCCTGTGGCTGAGTGTAACCATCAGAAGTCAGGTGGGTGCAATTATCATAATGAGTGCAAGGTCGGCAGAGAGGTTGGTGGAGAAGCCCAAGGAGCCTGAAGTGTAGTTATGGAAACCATAAATAGGACGTGGCATCCTAGGGGAAGGATAAATGAGCAGGGACAATAAGTGTCCATTCTGTGGCCATCATCAAAAAATCTAGAAACAATAAATGCTGGAGAGGGTGTGGAGAAAAGGGAACCCTCTTGCACTGCTGGTGGGAATGTGAATTGATACAGCCACTATGGAGAACAGTACGGAGGTTCCTTAAAAAACTACAGAGAGAACTACCATACGACCCAGCAATCCCACTACTGGGCATATACCCTGAGAAAACCATAATTCAAAAAGAATCATGTACCAAAATGTTCATTGCAGCTCTATTTACAGTAGCCCAGAGATGGAAACAACCTAAGTGTCCATTGACAGATGAATGGATAAAGAAGAGGTGGCACATATATACAAGGGAATATTACTCAGCCATAAAAAGAAACGAAATTGAGTTATTTGTAGTCAGGTGGATGGACCTAGAGTCTGTCATACAGAGTGAAGTAAGTCAGAAAGAGAAAAACAAATACTGTATGCTAATGCATATATATGGAATCTAAAAAAAAATGGTCATGAAGAACCTAGGGTCAGGACAGGAATAAAGATGCATACCTACTAGAGAATGGACTTGAGGACACAGGGAGGGGGAAGGGTAAGCTGGGACAAAGTGAGAGAGTGGCAAGGACATATACACACTACCAAATGTAAAACAGAGAGCTAGTGG